ATTGCCACCACTGCCGCCTCTAATTTCATTAGTGTTATTGTCGTCTCTAATTCCATCAGTTCCATTGCCTCCGGTCCCTCCTCTTATTCCCTCACTTCCCAAAGTCACATCACCCCCACCACCGGTCACTACAACTTTCACTCCTCCGGTCGCGGGAACCATCCGTCCCTGAAGGTTGTAGCCGACAGTTACCACCATCTACTGCATTAAGATGTAATTTTATCAAGTGAAATATGTTTATAAGTAATAAAGAGTTGGAATTCCTACCAAATTGTATGTTTTAAGAACATGCAATTTATATTTGCGTTTCTTTACATATGAGTTACAAACATACTCAATGTTTAAAGTATAGAGAGAGAAATGAGTGGATATTAACTGACACGGGTTTATATACTTTAAATCTTTATGCAAAAAAATTATGCGAGAACTGTTATTAATTTATTCAAACCCAATATTGAATAAATATGAGATAGTTATATACAACATGGATCATACAATTTAGATTAAATTACTGAAATTAATATTAACCGACTGAGGTTTATTAATTTATTCAAACTTAAGATTGAATAAATATGACATAGTTATATAAAAGACGGATCATACTATTAACCGACTTGGGTTTACAAACTTTAAATCTTTATGCAAAAAAAGAAAAAAAAAAAAAAAAAAAAAAAAAAAAAAAAAAAAAAACTATGTGAGAACTGATATTAATTTATTCAAACTCAACTAGTGGTGTTTGAGGGCGGAAGAGGTGGTGTTTGAGGGCGGAGGAGGTGGTGGTGGTGTTTGTTGGTTCTTTTAGTCGTGATGGTTCTCGGTTCTTTTAGTGGTGGTAGCACCCTATATCTATAAACTCATATTAACTTATTTATTTAGAGTTAATAAATAAATAAATAAATAAAAGAAATTAAAAAACTGAAAAAAGAAATATAAATGGAAAGATAGTATTTTTTTTATGTTTGAATAAAATCATAGCATTTTTTTTATGTTTGAATAAAATCATAGCATTTTTTTTATGTTTGAATAAAATCATAGCATAAGGATGGTCCGAATGTAAAATCAAATTAGGGGCCAAAAATGTAATTCTAATCAAACCATAATGATGATTTCAATAATTTACTCTAAATGCAAGTGAATTTTATTTCTTGAGTAGTTAAAGGACAATGTTGGGCTAATTGAAGCTACAAAATTGTGAAAACAAAACCTAATTATCGAAAGTAAACAAACCTTTAAGAAAATCTGAATTTCTATTATAAGATTTGTCAAGTTTTTTAAAAAACATAAAGTTGTGTCAGAAAGATAACAACACCACATTGTTTAGTACTAATTAGCATTATGCTATGAACGTGTTGATTATTATTCATAAGAGTTGTATTAATTATGCAACAAAGAACGATTATTTGTGTATCATAGAGTTACTTAGCCGATGAATATTGCATTACTTCATGTGTAGTTACAAAATATAAAGTTTTTTTTTTTTAAAAATCTAGTTAGCTAGTAAAACATTTAAAAGTAGTTCATGGATATATCATGTAGGACGTTTTTACGAAAATTTGTATACTAACAATCCATGATATGTTATATAAAATTTTGCGACCTACTTACCAGATTTTAAATTTTGAAGCAGGTGACGACCCCCATGGGTAGTAACTATAGTTATACTTGTCGTTAGGCCACACACTAACACAAATATAATTTGCATCCGCATAAGATATTTGAAGCCACAAATATTAAAACTTAACATAGTGTACATGTTGAATATTATAATTTGTAAATACTCGATTATCATATATGAAATTATGAACTTAAATGAACCATACATCACTTTCTTCCTACACACTTTAAATTCCAACACACAATGATTTATGTCATAAGTCTACAATCAAATATAAATTTGATTACTTACGATTCATAGAAGAGTAACTTTCTATAGCTAGATACCGCATTTTATTATGAACTTATAACATTGATTAACTCAATCTTCAAAAAAAATATGTTTGCAATATGCAACAACCTGTTATTACTTGTTTGATACTTTTGAATAGGATTCACTTTTTTCTCTTACATAAACGCTAAATAGAATGTTTTTATCTTTACGTGCATTATTTCATTTTACGGATAATGCAATACTATATGATAATTGATTTCGTTTTGGTAGCAACCGCTAACAAGACTATGGGTGGTGTTTATATATACGTTTTCAAAATAATTAATACAACCTCTCAGTTATTAATGGTTTATGTGTAACGTATATTTATTTACTTTCGTGTAACCTAAATTATCTGATTATATAAAAAAATAAAGAAATATATTTTCTATTGTTTTAAAAGAGAGGGGAAGTAAAAGAAATTCAATCGCCTACTCCTATATAACCACAAACTCCTAGTACCATTTCTTCAACGACTTCATTCCAATTCTCAATATGGCTTCTACTCAGGGGCGGAGCCAGAATTTATGAATAAGGGGGGCCGAGAGTCTTACATCATAATAACATATTAAAATATAATATTATACCTGAATAAAGTCATAGAGTCTAAAATTTTAAAATAGAAATCAACAAGGAAAAACTCATCTATATAAAATCTACATCGATCATTATATTAATCGATCTTCAAAATTTAATCGACTATAAACATTGATTCATATTATCCAACATCATCTTTTCAATTCGTTTGAAAAGATGATGTTGGATAATATGATTTTTTACTAATGATTTACTATAGGATTATAAAAAAGCCAAATTTCCAATCGTAATAATATAATTAATTATAAATTAAGAAATTATTAAAAATAAAATAATATTAAAAATAACATTATTAATGTAGACTTGAAATGGAAACTGTAGCGAAGATGCTATCGCTGATTTCTAATTGAATAGGATCATGTATTTATGAGAATTTATGGGAGTGGGTAATAAATAAGTAAAAGTTAAATCATTAGTAAAACTTTTAAGTCATATAAGAGAATTATAGGATGCACATTGAATATAAATAAAAATACAGGGGGTTATAATGTCTATACATACATTCCATGTGGGCTTGGTAACTATATTATTAATATATACAAAGTTTACACCATTTAGTTAAAATCGTTGAGGGGGGCCAAGCATCCGACAGCCCCCCTACTAACTCCGCCATTGCTTCTACTACCCTCATAATTCTCCCTCTCCTTGCAACTCTCATTTTCTCCAACAACCTCCAAGCCACCGTAGTAGGCTGCCTCTAGCCACGGTCCCTCCACTTACGCCATTAAATGGCTTCTGCGATGCCCCATCAGCTCTTCCAACGCCCTCAGCTCCATCGCCAACGTTCCCTCCTCTAACTCCATCAGCGTTATTGTCTCCTCTAATTCCATTGTCGTCATTGCTTCCTCTTATTCCATCAGTGCCATGACCTCATCTAAATCTATTGCCACCATTGTCGCTTCTAATTCCATCAGTGTCATTTAGGGGTGTTTACAGGGCGGTTCGAATCAGATAGTAATAAAATTGTGAACCGTGACAGCGGGGCGGGTACCTTTCTAGCACTAAACGTAACCGAACCGAATTGCTAAAAAAACCGAACCGAACCAAACCGTATAAAGGCGGGTAACCACGGTTCGGTTCACGGGTATCCACTAAATATAAAAAATAAGAATCAATCAAAACTACAAACTCCATTTCAATAAAAAAAAATTCTGAAAATAAAACCAATTGTTGAAATATAAATGATAAATAATTTAATATTATAAAACCGATCGTTAGTTCTGAATTTACGCAAACACAATTGTGCAGACTACAACAAATTCTTTGATATAATGATATTCAATATTTATTAATTCTTGTTTTTTTTCATGTGACCTTAAAATATTTACAAGTCAGTAAACACAATCAAATATATTAATATAACCAATTCTCATTTCTATATTACGCATGAAAATTATATTATATTTAAACTACAGTCACTTTTTTGATGTTCATGATAGAATCAAATTAGATTGTGCATACTGTTTAGTGATTGAGTTTCTAAAGGAGCAATATATATATATATATATATATATATATAGATATATATATATATATATATATATATATATATATCGGTTCAGTTCGGGTATCCGCGGATATCTAAATACCCAAACCGAACCCGACCCGTAGGTACCCGATTTTTTCAATTTTGGTTTATTTCGGATTCGGTTTTTTTCGGTTTCGGATTGACAGGATCGGCTCGGTTTTTCGGTTTTGCGGTTTTTTTGCACACCCCTAGTGTCATTGTCGTCTCTAATTCCATTAGTTCCATTGTCTCCACTCCTTCCTCTTATTCTGTCACTTCCCACAGGCACATAACCCCTCCACTCGTCTCTAATTCCATTAGTTCCATTGTCTCCACTCCTTCCTTCTTATTTCTGTCCACTTCCCCACAGCACATAACCCCCTCCACTGTCACTACAACTTTCACTCCTCCGGTCGCGGGAACAATCAGTCCCCTGAAGTTGGCAGTCGACACTTACCAACATCTACTGCATTAATATGTAATTTTATCAAGTGAAATATGTTTATTAGTAATAAAGAATTGGAATTCCTACTACATTTTATGTTTTAAGAACATGTAATTTGTGTCTACGGTTCTTTACATATGAGTTACAAACATAGTCAATGTTTAAAGTATAGAGAGAGAATTGGGTGGATATTAGCCGACTCAGGTTTATATAATTAAAATCTTTATGCAAAAAGATCTATGTGAGAACTTATATTAATTTATTCAAACTCGATATTGAACAAATATGACATAGTTATATACAACGTGGATCATATTATTTAGAGTAAATTACTGAAATTAATATTAACTGACTCGGGCTTATTAATTTATTCAAACTCAAGATTGAATAAATATGACATAGTTATATAAAGATGGATCATACTATTTAGATAATTGAATGGATATTAACCGACTCAGGTTTATAAACTTTAAATCTTTATGCAAAAAAATCTATGTTAAGAACTGATATTAATTTATTCAAACTCAACTAGTGGTGTTTGACGGCGAAATAGGTGGTGTTTGATGGCGGAGGAAGTGGTGGTGGTGTTCGTTGGTTCTTTTAGTGGTGATGGTTCTCAGTTCTTTTAGTGGTGGTGACACCCTATATCTATAAATTCATATTAACTTATTTTTTTAGAATTATAAATAAATAAATAAAAGAAATTAAAAAAAAAACTGAAAAAAAATATAAAGGGAAATATAGTATATTTATGTTTGTGAGGGATTAAGAACGCAATAAAATCATACCATAAGGATGGTCCGAATGTAAAAATAAATTAGGAACCAAACATGTAATTCTAATCAAACAATAAGGACGATTTCAGAAATTTACTCTACTTATAAAGAAGGCAAGTGAATTTTATTTCTTGAGAAGTTAAAGGACAATATTAGGCTAATTCAAGCTATAAGATTGTGAAAACAAAACTTAATTATCGGAAGTAAACTTAATATCAATTTCATTAATAGACTTACCTTCTTATTTCAAAATTCCTAAATTAAAGTTTATTAGTTTATTTTGTTTATTTATTTAAATTTAAAAGATAAAAAAACAATTTTAATAATTTTTTTTTTTTTATAAATCCAAAGTTCTTAAATATTTAGACATTTATATTTAACTTTTTTAATTAACACATATAATACATGAGTCTTACACCTAGTCGGTAAATAAATTCAAAAGTACATTGTTTTTGGTTGACCGAGAAAGAAGGAGCTATAGCTTATCTAAGGAGCGAGAAGAGCTAGCACGGGCTTAGTTGGGTTTGTTTGAGTCTAAATCCTGATTACGTCGATTCAACTAGTTCAGTTTGAGTCTTTCACCAATCCTTTCTCAGAGAATTCCTCGTGCATCAAAAAACTTCTAGTAAAGTGAGACCGGAGAGGAGAGTCGAAAATACTTAATAAAGCACCTTAGAAGACTTTGGTAAATAAATTTTGTAACTACTACCTTGATGTTAAAACATCCTACTTCAGCTGCCAGAATCATATGCCACCGTCGGCAACTGAGGACTCAGTCGCCAGAATCCACCTCTCACCCTCTATCTTCTAACCCTCCAGAACTAGATCGACTACATCGTGTCTTTAAAGCCACCACCTCCCTCCATCTCTAATCCTCCCACTATTAGAATCCACCTTCCCCAACGCCTCCTCAGTGGTGAAAAGCCCTTCATCATAACCATTGGTCACCGCTTCCTTATCCGTAAAACCCATAATCCTGGTAAATAAAACCCTGGAATCCAAGAATCAAGATCATCCGTTGTTGCTCCACCTCTTCGCCTTTAACCCCCGATTGCATATGGTTTCATCTTCGTCGACTGCATCTACCCTTTCACCGTCTCCACTTTTTTGTGTTGGCTTTAAAGACCGATTAAAGGTCTTCTTCTCTTCCCTCTTCATCCGGTTTATCGCTATTAGCCTCTTCTCTTTCTTCGTTTGAAAAAAACCACAAACGGTTAAAACCAAATGCAATCTCTAATCTAGGGTTGTGTTTGTTTTTCTAGATTTGATGAGCAAACTGATTTTGGGTTTATGGATTTGAAAAAAAAAAAAATGGTTTTCCCTAATTCTGATTAGATTTAGGGTTTTTTTATGGATTGTTTGCAATTTTGCATCAAGTTAGGGTTTAGGGTTTGAGCATCTGAAATTGGTTTGTTTTAATTTCTTTGGCTGATGGAAGTTGATGGTAATGGTGTTGACGGCGGAGAGGTGCTGGTAGTGTTCGTTGGTTCTTCTAGTAGTGATGGTGTGTCAGTTTTTTTGTGGTGTGGCACCCTATATCAATAAATTCATATTAAATTATTTTTAAAAAATTAAAAAAATAAATTAATTCATTCATTAAAGAAATTAAAAAACTGAAAAAAAAATATAAAGGCAATATAGTACTTTTATATTTGTGGTATTAGTGAGGGACTGAGAACACAATAAAATCATTCCATAACATGGTACGGGTTGTTTAAAAAAATAAAAAAAATTAGGGACCAAACATATGATTCTAACCAAACCATAAGTATGATTTCAGTAACCTAATCTAACTTTTATAAGAAGACTTTTATAAGAAGGCAAAGTGAATTTTATTTCTGAGAAGTTAAAGGATAATATTGAGCTAATTCAACCTACAAGATTGTGAAAACAAAACTTAATTATCGAAAGTAAACATACTTTTAAAAAAAAATCAAAATTTCTAATATAAGATTTTCCAAGTTTTTTAAAAAACATAAAGCTATGTCACATGGATAACAACATTATAATGTTTAGTACTAATTAGCATTATGCTATGAAGCGTAGATTATTTTTCATAAGAGTTGTATTAATTATGTATGGAACAACAAAACGTTAGGTGTGCACCATAGAGTTATTGAGTCAATAAATATAGCACTATTTGATGTGTAGTTACAAATTATAAAGTTATTTTAAGTTTAGTTAGCGAATAAAGCATTTAAATGTAGTAAAGTTCATTGATAAATTATGTAGAATGTTTTTCCCAAAATTTGTATACTAACAATCCATGATATGTTATATATGTTTTGTTATAGAAAAGTTTGCTATCTACTTAGCAGATTTAAAATTTTGAAGCAGGTGACGACCCTAGTTACTTGTCATCGGCCGCACACAGCCACACAGTAACACAAATTAATTTACATACGATATTTATGAAGCCTCAAAAATTAAAACTTATCATGCTTGAATATAGTGTGCATGTGGAATGTTATGATTCTCATAGATTCAATAACCAAAGATACAACACATATAAATACATATCGAAAATACAAAGGCCTATACTGACCGAGACCCATACTAAAATACAATACATGTGGGCTAGACTACTATTATACAATATACTCTTAATTTCATTTTTGTATTTGTGTTAACTTAAGTTTCAAGACCGTCATTTTATCCAATAATAACTTATGTGTTCAATCATTTACATAAAATTTTAATATTTTATATAAAACGAAAAATGCTAAGCCTTTTAAATTTTATTATTGCAAGAGTATGCGATGGGCTAATAAAATTAAAATATTTTGATAGATAGCATGACATGACATATTGGCATTCCATCGTATTTTGTGTAACCGGTTCGAATGAACCGGAAGACGGCAACACTTGGTGAACCGGTCACTATATAAACCACACTAATTTATCACCATTTAAACCACAACTCATAGCCTCACCTCACGATTCACGAACCCAACTCCCAATTGACAAATGGCTCACGGTCTAGGCTCGATCATGTTTCTGGCTCTGGCTCTCACTGTGGCATGGGCCGCGGACCATAGTCCTCTTCAAGACTTTTGTGTTGCTGATATAAACGGTCAAGGTACGTTAAAGATATGTTGTTTTATACGTGATCGGTTATATATAAATATAACCAAATTTACAATTTTATTTATTTTGACTGGTTAGATTTAAATATAACTAAAATTTAACTTATTTCATATAGATATTAAGATTGTCTTATTTACCTATTGATCATTTGTTGTGTAATTTGTTGTAGTACGGGTAAACGGATTCGCTTGCAAAAACCCTAATGGCGTTCAAGCGAATGACTTCTACTTCAGTGGTATGCACATGATGGGTAACACTTCAAATCGTTTGGGGTCAAGTGTGACCCCAGCATTTGTGTTCCAAATCCCAGGACTTATCACACTTGGGATTTCACTTGCACGGCTCGACTTTGCACCATGGGGGCTCATACCACCTCACACGCATCCTCGTGCTACTGAAATCTTAACCGTGTTAGAAGGTCAGATTGAAGTTGGGTTTGTGACATCAAACCCTGATAACCGTCATATCTCAAAAGTACTGAATAAAGGTGATGTTTTCGTGTTCCCTGTGAATCTTATACATTACCAAAGGAATGTTGGAAACATGAATGCGGTTGCGATGGTAGCTTTGAGTAGCCAAAACCCTGGAGTGGTTCCTATAGCAAATGTGGTTTTCGGTTCAAATCCAGATATTTCAACCGATGTTCTTGCAAAGGCCTTCCAAGTTAGTGATGATATTATTAGCGACATGCAAGTTAAGTTTTAGCTTCGGTTTGATTTCAAGTTTGTAATTATTGTTGGGAAGTAAACTATGTCCCTCTGTTCTCTATTGCAAAAAAGTAATTCCTCCTTGCTTAAAAGGGAAGTTGAGAAAATTGGTTCACACCACACTAATATACTTTATATTATGCTACTAGATAAACATGATAGCAATATACTTTAAGTCGATTCTTATATTGAATCATGATTGTTTTACACAAAATAGTAATTATTAGTTTTTACTTTTTGTTACAAATTTACCTGGAAACGTGTTAAACGATAAAATCATTACAAATGAGTTGACTATTAAAATGATGATAAGGTACATTGGTACAGCAATTAGAATAGAAAAAGCTATAGAGAATAAAATATAACTTAAACCAGTCATGTGGATTTGCTAAATATTCCACTCAACACCTCCCAAACAAAAAGCCAGTTCATTGACAGCCAAGAAAAAGAGAAGGTATTATTGCTTCTTTTTTTTAAGTTCATAATAAATAAATGCATCATATTCTCCTTTACAAAATACAATGTTTCTGTTTTATGACCACCAACCCTACAAATGAATTATGTCCCCACCGTTTGTTTTCAAAGAATATTTCCCCATTTCCCCTCTATACTACATAATATCCCATATGTATATATCTACCCTCCATCCCAAAACCCAAAAAAAAAAAAATTTAAAAAAAAAAAAAATCACCATTCACCAACAATGTACGCTGTATCCTTTTGTGGGCCCTACCTCTCGCCCGTTTGTGAAACCCGGGTTTTTATCGGTTTTAGCTTCAATCCCATGCTTTCGGGGGAGAGTAATTCCGGGGCAATGCATGAAGGACTTAAAGGGCTTCTCGGGCTACCCGTGAACTGGCTTGGTCTGTAAAGTCCATACCCCATTAGAAAATACTCCATGGGTATTAACATTGCATGTGGTTGCTCTTCTGTCACCATTGATCCACAAACCTGTACCTGAAAACTCAGATTGAAAGTCAAAATTAATCACCAGTTTCTTTAAAAGTCAAAATACTTTTATAATAACATGTTAGTTGTTTATTCACCTCAACTAAAGCGCTATATCGTCTGTCCAGTTTTGCTGTCATGTGAAGGGCTTCTGAATGGAATGGTGAGCTGTCACCAACAAATATAAGTGTTCTGCATTTTAGCTTCTTTAAACCTTCGGTGATGTCAGGTCTCCTACTCATTTCAAAAAAAATAACAAAAAGTCAAAATCTTGGTTGTTGACCAACAAATATGGTGCTCATCAATCATTTACATACAACCGCAACCTCTTTTTGCTTTTTTTTTTTTAATCTCTACCTATCAATTGCTTGAAGATACCGCCACACGTTCGTACTTTGTCTTTCGTCCAATAACTGCATAATTTTCAATTATATCAGTCAGTCACAATCACAGTCATAGTCACGCCTTTTTTGATAGGACAAAAAGCTGCAATTTCTGTGTCATTAATAATAGTACAACTTTTTTCTGTCTCTCTGCCTTTTTGGGAGAGACAAAAAAGTTGCAAATTTATCAGTCACGGTACAACTTGTTTTGTCATGTGTAATAAATGCAGATATCGGGCTACAAATGATATTTAAGACTAACCTTTCTGCACGCTTGAACTATATCTGATTCTGGGATTTCTGGATTACCACGAACTTCCTGATTTAATTCAAAGATATCTCGTTAATTTTTATCTATAAAAAGGTTTGTCATGAAAAAGATTTAACAATAAGAACTAAGAAGTTGGAATGTACCTTGCTGAAGTATCTTTGAAGCAAACATTCTTTCAATAATCCACACATTCCGTAGTAATAGAGCAAATTCGACATCAACTATACATTCAAAGTAAAGTTAATTTAGTAAATAAATGATTATTTAATGCAAAATGAATGAAATTAAAACTCAAAAGAACAAACCTTGTTATAAATCCATTCTGTCCAAGATGGTGCTTTGCAAAGAGGAGAAACAAGAATCAAACCTGTAACCCTATCTCTGTATTTTATCTGAAATATATAAAACCAAATTTAGTTTTTCAATATACTTTTTTTTTTTAAATAATTACAGCATTGTACTTTGAATCAAGAAGACTCACCGCAAATAGTGTAAGGATGTATGCGCCAGCTGTCGCCCCCATACACATCACCGCACCAAGCCTTATAGAAAACAAAATTTTTTATAAGAATCAAGAATTTAAAAAAATAAATAAAATATGGTGGATGATTTACCGAAAATAATTGAGGACTTCGAGAATCTGATCACAAAGATCCTCCACAGACAGCATGGGATCATCTGAACAGATGGCTGCTGCTCCTAACTGCAACAACTCTTGTACAATTCCCACAAGAGAATTTTAACGTTAATAATATAATTCGGAAAATTTAAATATAAATATAAAGAAATTAAATATGATTTGGCGCGTTCACAGACCTCGTGTCCAGGTGGACTAATGTGATAAATGCAGAAATTATGGAGGAGCAATGAAGCTGCTTCGGGACAGAAGAATAATCCTTGGAAACACAACATATCTGTAGGCACAAGTAAAGGAAAAAAAAACATGAGATGCTGACATGGCATTTGTTGCACCATGTTAGGGTTATTTTCAATGATAAAGATGAGAAGGGTATTTACGTCTTTTTGCATAGACAAGAGATTGAGAGTGGGGTAATCAAAAAGTTGCACTTTTTGTCCCATTGACATCAGTATCAGTCCAAATATCCAAATACAATACGGTCTGTTCTACACAGTAGAGCCTATTCTGCTCTGTTCAGTCTTGTCATGTCATGTGATAGAAGGGCATTTATGTCTTTTTGCATAGACAAGAGATTGAAATTATTCTTGGCTTACGATTTAGAGCTAAATCGGGATAAGTAATCAATGGTGGCTTTTCTTGATCTCCATACACAATCACAGACACGGACCCACGCCCAGTTCGAATGATATGCTCCTGAATATAAATTTTATAGAATATTAAAATCCAAGAAGTATAAAACCGTTAAAAACTATTGAAAATTGGATTTTGTTTATTCGAAAAAGAAAGATGACAACTAAATGAAAGATGCATCAAGGCATAATTCTTGATCATTGTTGTATTGTATTCTACATGAATTCGGCTTATAATATTATAAGGAATCTTATATAAAAACAAAGAAGAGTGGCATGTTTTCATTGGACTCTCGTTTAGTTTAGAGTCTCCAAATGTCAATTGAAGTTTGTAAATAAAGATGGGATTCAATGATGTTGAAATTTGACATTGACTTTGATATTGACGGATAAGCTAACAAGAAACAGATTGTAACTTCTAACCCTAACAAAATATATAAAAAGATTGGACTTTCATGTTAAGATAATGACAACTCATCATAAATGCTTTCAAAGATAGCAAAATTTTACCATTAAAGAAGAATCTTGGATTAAAACTTAAGACAAGTTAATCAATATGAAAGTAATTCAACGACAAAATTACTAATTAAAGTAAAGTAACCTTTTAACTTCGTTTTCTGGGGTTTGTGTAAATTCAACAAGAACAACCCTAATAAAGATATAGATTCAGCTTTACGAATCTGATTTTTTTGAATGTATATAAATGAAGGGAAATATTTAATGTAATTAGAAGTTTAGAGCCCATTACACCACCATCTTACTAATTTTTTTGAAATTTCTTCTTGATTTTATATCATAAATTGTTGATCACATACAGAAATCAAGAACTGCTTTGCTTTGAATATAGATACTCATGAATTTGGTGTTTCAACATTGCGATGACAATAAAAGTCAAACAGATCTACAATTGCAAAAGTCACAAATTTACAGCTTAAATTGTATAGTCAACAAAGAGGGTCAAAACAGAAAACCTAAAAATCAAGAAAAAGGTACTCTAAATTGGGAATGAAGATGAGTCATCCCCAAAAGCGTATCAAACGCATCCACTAAATCTATGTTAAAAGAAAAGTTAACAAACAAGCTCAAAGATTATCAAAAATTAGTTAAACCCATTCAGGCATTTCAACAAACACCTTACATTCAGTACACAAAGTCAGACCAAATATTCCCAAAACTCAAATGGGTGTGAAGGAATGAGTTCATATTGAGACAAGTATTCATGGAGTCAATCATATTACACAAATCTTGAATTAAAATACTCAGATTAAACACAAACCTTTCCACCAAGATATATAGTTTCCATATCAACAGAGACGGAATCACTGGAATCCGCCATAGACTTCTTCTTCTTCTTCTTCTCTCTCTCTTTCTTACCCCTCTCTTTTGGGGTATTACTTTCTCTCTCTAAAAACTCTTCTGTACCTCTCTTATCATTTATAAGCTGTAAGCTTCGGTGGCTTATATACGAAGCAATTCTTTCTTCCCTTTATTTTTCGGTATATAATTTGTTTGTTCTCTCTCTCTCTCTCTCTCTACATCTGTCTGTGATAAATATTAAAAGCCAAGAAAAAAAATGTTAAATATAAATATAAATCATGAGCTGCGGTTAGCCTCCACCGACGGTATTCTCTCTTGCTCACATGGGGACGCGGAGGTTGATAGCGATTTCTCTCCGTCACAACGGACGTTAACTCGACGTTTGGTTACATTTAACCATGGTTACCGACATATTGGCCTCTTGAACCTTCAACGCGAAAAACGACATCGTGCAGTTATTGTTTGTTATTTTTCTCTAGATATAATAATTTTTATTTTCAGGTTGTTTTGATATTAATAGGATACACTTAGATTGCCCACGACGTCGTGCAGTTATTGTTTGTCTAATTTTGGCTCTAGACATTCTTTTTCTTACTGAAAATAATAATAATATATTTTTGATTGTCTACAACAAATAACAATTTATTTTGTATATATAGAGTGTATCGGAATTTTATTGAATACACATCAAATATCGCAAAGCTTATTCAGTATATATCAAAAAGTTCAAACCTCTGATAATGATGAACATAAAGATTTTGATAATTTTAATAGATGTACATCAAAAAAGTTCAAATCAATCTCAATCGACTCAAATTAGGATCATGCCAAATAAATCGAATAGTCCAATATCATCTATGATTCTATGGGAGGTAAATGTTTTTGAATGAGACATTTGTACTTTTTAAAATTAATCATGGTTATACAAGATATGTAATTGAATGAGACATTTGTACTTTTTAAAATTAATCATGGTTATACAAGATATGTAATGATGTGCTTTACGGTGTGTTATGGCGTGAGGCTTGACTATCTGTCTTGAAAAACTTTCATGTCGACTTTGTTAGGCGTGACGCATGCCAAGATGGATCAATTGTTATGGTGCGAATTTTTTTCATGACATGTTTTTTTGTCAAAATCGGACATTAAGTTTTTGTTATTAGGTGTTAATATAACTCTTCTTAAAACTTGATATGTTTTATATAAATCTATAATGATGTGATTTCTCTTTTTTATATATACAAAATGACTCCCTTAAAATACGACATGACTTATCATGGCTCTTAAAAACTTGAATTTTGACATTGTCGTCACGTCATGTCTCACGCCATTTGAAACCTTGAAATTAAGACAAACACAAATATATCCCTTGCCTACTTTGGAATAGAGCCTGACCTAAAAAGAAAGCAAACAACTGACCATCAACTTAGTTTTTGCTTTCAATTTTTTAGATTTTTTATTATAGTCGCTAAAATCACCGATGTTTGAAATAATATAATTACTTCTATAAAAATATTTTTAGGAAAAAATTATGTTCGTTAAAAAAATTTAAGGAAAAAAGGTTGGTAACAATGATTCTACGAGATTTTTAGAAGATATGTGATGTGGCAGTACACTTTTTTTTGGATTTCATATAGTTTATGCTTTGGATGTTGATAATAATTGTAGGGGTGATGATTGATGACACGACACGACAAAAATATACGACACGAAACAAAATTGGGACAAAACTGAAATTTGAATATGTGTTTGTGTCGAGTGTAAAAAAAAGGACATCGTGTCGTGTTGTGTTCGTGTTTAAAATTCGACACGAAATTGACACGATTTAGCATTTGTTTGTTGTGTTTTTCGTGTTTGTCGTGTTATGTGTGATTAAATATTAATGAAATAAATTAATTATTATTTTATGTTATATTTGTCGTCTCGTGTCATGTTTGTTGTTTTTTAATTGGTTCGTTTTCATGTTACTTAAAAAAAACACGACATCGTGTCATGTCGTGTTCGTGTTACATAAAACATTGTTGTGTCGTATCGTGTCTGATAAAAACACGACACAGTGGTCCAATTTGTCATCCTTAAAGAATTGTCTTATCAAAGATCGGGTGGTAGAGCCTAAATGGGCATCTAAGGAGCGAAACATGCAATGTGAAAGTCTAAAAGAAGCTTTGCAAGATGTGGTGTTGACCAATCAACCGAACACATGGATTTGAGACCTTAATTCAGATGGGTTAGGTAAGGTTGTATCTAGGTGCATTGATTCTCAAACTTTAGCGATTGGTAATCATTCTACCTGTTCAAACATTTTGGTTCCGATAAAAGTTAACATTGTAGGTTGGCGTGTATATTTGCATCAGATTTCCAACCAAAGTAAATTTAAATGACACGGGAGTTGGTGTTGAGTCTGGTTTATCATTTGTGATGCGTTTATGGAGACGATTGGCCGCATCTTCAATTATGTGTCTCGTTGCTATTTTGATTGGTCTAAAGTGGCTAGAGGGTGGGATCTTGTCAATCCTACGTGTGGCTAGCTGGTTTGTGAAAGCATGGTTGGATGTGGTGATCCTTCTTTCGATTTCGAGTTTTATGGAATTTTCATAATGCGAGAGTCTTTGATTGCCAAAAGGAGAAGAAAGATAGCATTTTTTTTTTAAAATGCTTAAGGTGGTTTGTTTTAGATTTTGCATAGACAGTCCCAAGTTAAAACTATATCATAGGTTAGTTTGTTACAAAACTTGGCCCTTATTATTTCTTTCTTATAATGTTTTTATTCCTCATACCCCTGATTTTATAAAAGTTCGGTGGTTTGAAACTTTGAATAAGAAAAAGCATAACGCTTCTAGTTCTTAACTTTTTATTGGGAAGAAATCATAAGAAACATGTTATTATTATTATGATTTTTTTTTATATAAAAGTAAACCGCCTAAAATGAACATTGAACAAATATAATAGTTACTTTATGTGATTTACCAAATATATGTCAACAAAGTTTTATTATCACGATTTTTTTTTCATCTTTTTTTTTTGCTTTTAATATAATATTTAATGAACTTTTATGTCTAGTCAAAACAATATAGAGTATTTGTTATTTTAAAGTTATATATGTCAACCATGAAAAGGGGCAAGGCTGACCAAAAATATTTGTTTACTATTTGTTTGTGAGCTGCGAAAGATGTATTTATGTCATCAACAAATTTAATATGATAATCGTTGTAAAACCAACCTACTGATCTTTTTCAAGTCACTTGTAACATATTTTATGCCAATTATTAAACAACATATGCCAAGAAAAATAATGAATCAAATATGAAAGAATATCCCAAGTTTTAAGCACAAATAATGCAGTCCACAAACCACAATAAGTTAGCATCAAATCTTCCAACATGGTAAGTTGATAAAGAATGTGTATAACAATATTTATTAAACGACTTGTCCACGATCCTAGGATAGGTGATTTATGCTTGGCCAATGTGCTTTATGATGCCAGAACAACGAAGAGCATAAATAGATCCTTTTGATCTTTTGAGTTTTATGGATACGACTTGCATAATTGATTTGCAAATAAATAGTGTTTATTTAACATCTTATCGAATGGTATTTGGCCTAGCAGTATGGGAGGAGTTGACAGATAGATGTCATCAACCAAAGGTAGGGGATTCAAGTCTAATAGCGAACGAAATGTATACATTTAAAAGTAATATAGTAGATGCGTGTGTTAGCCGTTTAAAAAAAATGATTATCATCCATGCATTTTTATCGGGGTATTTCTAGATTAGAAAAAAAAAAGTTAATATAAAAAAATACGTATGTTTGTTTGTTATTGTTACTTAATAACTAAATTAAGCTATTGTATTAGTTAAATACAAATAAAATAATGGGTTCTACATCTTAACACGAATATGAGATGTTTGATCTAAATTAAAAAAGCTTCCCTTTTTGTAACGTGGTTATTGGAATAAATTACACATTTTTTGCATTTTTTGGGTTATATTTCCATTTGTTATTTGATAGGATTTTTCTTTAAAAAATAGGTTGCTTTGACTTGTAAACATAGAGATTGATGCATACTATAATAAAGAAATTAACAAAAATTAGGTTCAAATTAGTAGCAGTGCATATGAAGAATATGATATCGTTAAATAAATTGTATGAAGAAATGTGATTATAGTTGAATATATTTTGAAAATGTTTTTTTATCATTAATATCAAATAGCATATATCGTAAGTTATATCTCTTATCTATATAAAATCGAGTTGTTAGTATCTGACTTTTTATTTATTAACATAGTCTTTTATCTAGTTATAATACTTCACGTTGGAAAAATTGGTTTACCAATTTCCAAAAATGAATTTTTCCTATTTTTTTAGCATGAATTTCAAACCCTAAATATAATCAAAACGGTCAAATGATTGTATGTATGTGTTCTCCTTCGTGATACCTTCGTTTTGATATATCACATGTACAAAACGGATTATAGATGAATGAGAAATTACATGTCAAAGTAAGGTGTTTAGAAGAAATTAAATAAGTGGTTTAATGGGTTTTTGTTTTATCTCACATAGGTGGGAAGATGAAAAGAAAATAGCTTTATAACTACAAAAGCTCGTAGTTTTGTAAGTTTAATGGCACAAAGGTTCTCTCTTGTACGCACAAGGAATGGGGTGCAAATGTGAGTCAATTTGGTTTGGTTCACTAATTAGGCTCTTTAATTCTTTATGAGTTACTATGTTAAACATATGCCTAGTATAAATTAACAATTTATTCTTTCGTGCAGATTAAAGTGTTATATTTTCCTAACACTTACATCATATGAATTTATATAGTTGAAGTCTTGAAGAGGTGATTGCCAGTTTGAAATCTTGGTTTTTCTTTTTGATTTTGTTTTCCCTTTCAATGATGAATGATACATTCTTGAAAGTAGTTTTTTCTTCAAGAAAAAAAAAACACCTAAATGGATTCAGCTCTCAATCCATTAAGTCATAAACAGTCCAAAACAATCAGGAAATCTCCAGTCGTCACGTCGTGACAAGGGAGCTATCACGTTATGAGGACAAGCTTTCTCAACTTAATGGATTCAACTCTCAATCCATTAAGGCATCCATCCAATCTTCCCAGAAGACTTCCTAACGTCCAATATCATCTAAAGATCGATGCTTTTTAGCCATGCATGGTCATTATGAGTCTAAGGCTCAAAATAGGTCAAACATGGAGAAATATTATCAA